CTTGAGTTAGACCTCCAAAAAGGTCACCAAAATAAATGAGCCATGCTTGCAATATTCCCAGGATTTGAGCTTGTGATGCAGAAGATTACATTTCTTAAAAGACATGAATTGGGTGGTGGCTGATGATCTACCAGCTAATTCCCAATTAGTCCAAACTCCTAAGTCACCTGATCTTTCTCTAGTTCCATATTAGTTAAAAGCTTTTTATTCACCAGACTTTCTGTCTATCACTGACACCCAGTAGAGCCTGGTGATTCCTTTGCCTTCTTCCACTTTCCAAGTGCTGGGATAGAAACACGTATCTGTTCTAACCTATTAGAAAGAGTATAGAAAATATAGTGATGAGCTGCCAGGCCATGTGCTTGCCTTCAGGAATGTTGGGCAACTGCCCAGCCTTACTCTCAGCCAGGTCCTTGGGCTAAAATGGTGGTTGAGAAAGGGAATTACAGCCTGGAGCCCAGCTATCCTTTCAAGTCACCATTTACTCTCTAGATTACAATCGTGGAGGGCAGTTCTGGAGCCATCAAGTGGGAAGTGGAGCTGCTTTCAGAAATGCAGAGTCCCAAGCCAGCCTCTCTTGCAACTGCTGATCGCAGATCCGTTTTCCTCTTTTGGGGCCTGTACCAAGACGAAAGAAATGAAACTGTGAGTAGGGAATGATCTGTGATAGATGGAAATGAAGTGGGGCTGCCCACGATGAGTCTCGCAGAGCCGGCAGCAAGTCGGAAGCTGCATTCTGATCATCACTAGATGTGGGGGAAGGCCTTCCCAGCTCCATTCCTTGTGGGCTTTTCCTTTGGGTTCAGTTCCCCCCCCCCCAGAAAGCTCTGGGGAGAATCTGTACAGATAATGCTTGAGTTTTGGATGTAGGTTGTGCTCATTAAGCAAGACACCTAAATGACTGCCTCGCTCGACCACCACAATCCCAATTCTTTTGTGGTCATTAAACAACCATCCAGCAGTGCCTTAGGATGGGGGAGACCTTGGGAGGTCCAGCGTCTACCGGCAGATGGAAACCTCCGGTGGGTTAAAGGCCTCGGTAGGCCAGGCCCGTCAGTCTGCCCCGCAGCTGGAAAGGTAGCAAAAGAGAAACTGTTGCTGCTTAGGAAGATTGTTTCCACTAGCTTTTCAGTTTCGCGTCATGCCAGCTGGACATGCCTGTGGGCAGGGGAAGAGAAAGCTAAGTGGATCTGCATGTGGCAGGGCAGGGAGAAAGCAAGAGTGGCAGAGCAGGGGAATTGCAACACTTCCATGAGCATAAATGCCACCAGGCTGCCAAGTGCCCGAATTTTGATCACGTGATCACAGGACTGCTGCAAAGATGAGAACGTCAGGCAGGGGTCACAAGTCCTTTCACTCAGCACTGTCCATTTTGGTTACTAAATCAAAATGGTTGCAAGTTGACTAACTGTAGTAAAGACAGCCCTGGGGTGGTCCATCTGCAGTGGGTGCAGCAAATGGAGCAATTGGATGGCCTTTATTGTAGGGGGAAGAGTTTTCACCCATGGATCACAGGAGCATGGCAGCTCCTGGGCATAAGTAGGCCATCCCGGCAGTCTCTTATGGGGCCCTGGCCTTCTCTTCTCCTCCAGGGATCTTGGCATGGAAGTCAGCAGCAGCGGCTGTACCTTTTCCATCCCTCCCTGCCCACTGTCCTCTTGGAACTGAGCAATAGCACTGAGCCCATAGTGGCCTTTGAAGGTGAGTGGATGCTCCAGCTGTTTCCCAAATTGCCCAACCACTGGGGGCTCCTGCTATACTTCCCCTTTTGGTTCTAGGGTTGCTTTTTGAGCGAAGCCGCCATGCCTGTTACGTGCTGCTGGTAGGCCCCCAGGTTGGCAGCTCCCCTGGGAGAGTGATACTCTCAAAGCGGAAGCTGAAGGAAGACATTTTCAGCAGCCACGTGATCTGGCTCAACCAGATGCCCCAAGATACTGACCAGAATGTCCGGGACTATTTCCACCGAATGCGATTCCATACCTTTGGGTGAAGCTAGCCAGGGAGAAGGTAAACCGCACTCGGCTTCTGGAATACTTTGGGTAGTCCCACCACCAGGACTTGGATCCCATACCCTGGATTGTGCCTAGAGGCCCTAGGTTAAACAGCACATAGGGGAAAGAGAGAGACATTATGCCTCCTCTCTGACCATCAGAGATATCTATTCCCTAGAGGAGAAAGATCTTGGAAATGGTGCAACTGGGGTGGGGGCAGTTCTCAGAGTTATCGTGTGCCTGGCCATCTGGCTTCTCTTGGTCATCCTTCCCACTGGAACAGCGGACTCTGCACAGCTTGGCTATATAACTGCATCAGCCCCAGAAGTGCCTTGAGGGCCCTCTCAGTGTCATGATTGGCTTGGATCCTACAATCTCCCTGAAGAATCTGCAGAGCAACCGAAGCAGCTCCATCGGCCTTGGCCACCTCTGCTCCCAAAGTAATGCACCTGGGCTGTCTGATCTCCAGCTCACAGGCACCGAGCAATGCCGGTTGGCTATGTCAGGTACCAGGACATCCAACTGCTCCTTGTTGTCTTGCTGCGGCCAAGCCTCAGGTATGGCTTTTTCGGTCACAGTTCAAAGATGGAGATGCTTTGCAGAGCTGGAGTTCATTTATCTGCCCCAGATAGTTTCAATTTCAATAAATTTAGCTTTGGCCACAATGTTTGGAATGTCATCTGTGCTTCTCCCAGTACCTATAAGAGCTAGGAACAGCCCAGCAGCACCATAGTAGGAATTGGAACAAACTGGATTTCCTGCTGGGGAAAAAATGAGCAGCACGTTTTCGTGATGCTGACAAGTTTGGTTAGAGCTGAACAGAAGGGAGGGTTTTGTGTGGCATACACAAGGTTCTGCATCCCATCTATCCAGCAGATCAAGGCAGTCACTGTGGGGGGCTTCGGAGGAAGCCATCGAAGCTCTACTTGGTCCTTTTGTACCCAGTTATGGGGACCTGGCGGGAGGGGAGGGGGGCTCTCCCTTTTGAGTGCTTTCCTGTCTCTTCTGTGCCAGACACTTGGAGCCCCTGGTGAATTGTATGGAGAGACTCCTCACTAGCCAGGTGGGTCCTTGGGGGTCTTTGGCCACAAAGGAGGCCCACACCGCATTGTCTTTTGGTCTGACCTGCCCTGTTCTGCTGTTGGTGGTGGTTGGCCGAGATGCTGCTCTGCTTTCATAATTTTCAGGGGGGGAGGGGAGCGTTCCAGCATAATCTTTCCTGATGAAGCGGCTTATTCCCAGCTTCTTTCTTAGGCTGTGCTCTTGATACTTTCCCTGCCTCTCACGCTTCAGGCTAAAAGTAACCTCATGTCAGCAAGTAGAGCTGTTGCCAGCCAAGCAGCTCTAACGGGTATCTGTGGAGATCCCCTTTCTGCTTCTCTCCCTGCTTGAAGCCACTGAAACCAGCTTAACTGAAGGGCCTCTGCTAGGAAGAAGCTCCAGACTCACAGCTGTAATTTAACTCATTTTGCCTCCATCTAGCCTTCCCCTTGCTACTTGCAAGTGTTCTTTGGCCTTAAGCTAGGCGAAGTCGGTTAATGTGGCTGGCCGACATCTTTATCCTGAGAAATCTCCCTGATTCTCTAAAATATGCACCTACCTTTCAAAACTGCAACTAAGCAGGAGAGAGACTTTCCCTGTGTTTGTTTTTCTAGAGGGATATATTCCCACATTTGGTTCATTAGTTTATAAATTTGGGTTTTACCATAATGGCTGATTCTGCTTATTTTTGGCAGATTCATGGTGAAGATGGGCATAGGCCTCCTTGTAAAATTTAATCTTTGGAAGAAGTCCACCCATAAGGAGTATGCAACTCCCAGCATTCCACCTTGATTCTATTCAGCCTGGTCTCCCTGCTTATGCAGGAACAGCAACTATGCAATTGTCTGAACATTTCAGATGCATTCACAGAATCCTAGACAGGTCCGACTGCAAGGTGATTTGGGCAGGTCTTCCTCAGAAAGGTGCAGGAAATGGACATGGCCTTGTTTCAGCATCAGACCAGGTTACCTTTGGCCTGGGATAAAATCTGTGAGGGTGGCCTTCTAGCAGCCATTTGGAAGCTGGGAAAACAGTCTGCTCAACTAATCTTCTTAAGTGCAGAGGAGTGCAGAAGGGCATTATCTCCTCCAGCTCATCCGGCCCTGCATAATGCTATGCAAATTAGCCACCAAAGCCGTGGAGGTCCCCTGCACACAGACTGGTTGTGCTGCTCCACGAAGCAGCATAGCTAATGTCCATCCACTTGTTGTTGTTAATTGCGAAGTCGTGTCCTACTCATCGCGACCCCATGGACAATGTTCCTCCAGGTCTTCCTGTCCTGTACCATCTTCTGGAGTCCATTTAAGTTCACACCTCCTGGTTCAGTGACTCCATCCAGCCACCTCATTCTCTGTCGTCCCCTTCTTCTATTGCCCTCCATCTTTCCCAGCATTAGGCCCTTCTCCAGTGAGTCCTTCCTTCTCATTAGGTGGCCAAAGTATTTGAGTTTCAACTTCAGGATCTGGCCTTCTAAAGAGCAGTCGGGGTTGATCTCTTCTAGGACTGACGGTTTGAATCGCCTTGCAGTCCAAGGGACTCGCAGGAGTCTTCTCCAGCACCATAGTTCAAAGGCCTCAATTCTTTGGCGCTCAGCCTTTCTTATGGTCCAACTTTCACAGCCATACATTGCAACTGGGAAAACCATGGCCTGGACTATACGCACTTTTGTTGGCAGGGTGATGTCTCTGCTTTTTAGTATGCTGTCTAGATTTGCCACAGCTTTCCTCCCCAGGAGCAAGCGTCTTTTAATTTCTTTAATTTCCATCCACTAGGTGCTCTTAACTAAGGGTTAAGCAGGAGCTAGCTGGGCAGAAACTTGGCAAAATCAGGTCTACCGGTCACAATGAGAACAATAAATGAATGAATGAAAGCAACACTGCCACCCCCAGATAGATTTGGGGGAGGGGGATGATGGCTGATACTGGACTCTAGTCCTCTCCATCCCCAGTGAGATGACAACAGCCTGGGTCAACAAGGGCACTTTATTGTGGGTGGGATGTTCCATGCACTGAGAGGCAGGAATGCTGCCAGCCTTGCTCAAAGAGGGTGGAGGCTTGGCTGCACTAAAGATTAAGCCAGAAAGAAAAAGAAAGAGAAAAAAAGGGGGGAGGGGGTGTAACCAGCAGTAGTCTTTTGTCCAGGTGAGTAAGAGAGAGGTCTACATCTTGATGCCTGCTGGGGTGGGGGCAAGAGGCCTGAAGCATCCAGGGAACAAGTGTTTTGGGGGAGGGGGAGTTCCCCTTAGCCTCGCTCTTGGGGCCCCACCTGGCTCTCTTCCTCAGGCCTCACTTCATGGGCTCCAGGAGCGAGTGGACAGGCAAGGCTTGTGCTGGAGTGTCGCAGCTGCTTCCTCATGAATGGGAATGCCCTGCCAGGAGGCAAAACAAGTCCATCAGCAATGGATCTCGACTGGCTTTCTGGGAGAGCTTCCTCCAAGGTTGACCCACTCACCGCTTCTTGGTTTCTGGTGGCACAAGGGCCTCAGCAAGCAGCTTCTTGTAAAGCTCTGACTTCAAAAAGCGTGGGTAGGAGTCCTGCTGGAGGAGAAGGGGCAATTTAGAGAGAGACCTTCCAGCCCAAGAGCAGAGGATGCAACATCAGCCTGCTCTTATTGCTGGTCTGGCCACAGTCAGGCCTTGAGATGGGTAGCACAGAGAGAGAAAGAATCAAAGAGCTACGTCGCTCCCTGCCTATCTGGTAGCCTCAGGACCTTTTTCATCAGCATGTAGATGTGCATCTCGGCATCGTCCATTACGTAGCGGTGGGGGGTCTTGATGCCCTTCAAGGTGTGCTCCATAGTCTTGCTGTCAAGATTCACCCAGCGGGTGGCACTGGGCGCTAGAAACTCCCTGGAGGAACAGTACATGAGAAACCATGCAGATGGGAAAGCAAAGCCCTAGCAAGCTCTGGGGGCCAGATGAGAGTGAGGAAAGGTACAGAAACACAATGGACACACATGCCCCAGAAGCAAGGTGGAGTGGCCATCCTCTGATTCCCAAGTGGAGCACAACCTCAGCCCACTATCCTCCCCGCTCTAAGGGGAGAAAGCCACCTACTGGTAGATGGAGTCCACAGCTTCTGCAATGTGGGCCTCTTCACCCAGGCGTAACTCTTCACAAGCCTCCCAAAACATCAGGTTCTCGGCTGCGTGGGAGAGAAAGCATGCCCCGAGTTGACCAAGCAGGAAGAAGGGCAGAGCCCTTGCTGGCTTCCTGGGAGCGGGACGGACCTTCCTCGCAGGTCTTCCTTTTCCCTCCTCAGACCCAGCAAAGCAAGTGCTCACCACTGAACTCTGTCTTGAGGAACTCCAGGAGTTGCTCTCGGCCCAAGATGTCGCCCATCAGCTCACTGAAGCCGAAGCTCCAGCGCTCCACCCGCAGCTTGGTGGGAACTGTGACCCTGCAAGGCAAAAGGGTCTTGGGCAGAGCTGCTATGCAATTCGGGTGTGCTTCCTGGCTCGAGGTGTGGATGGCAGCCATCGCTGGGGAAGCCATTGCACAGATACAATTTGTGTGCCAATTATGCCCATTCCTGGAGCTGGAAGCCTTGCTCACTGTCAGTCATATCTTGGTTGGATAATTGCAATGTGCTCTACAAGGGGCTGCCCTTGAAGACCATCCAGAAATTAGAGCTGCTACAGAATTCTTGCGAAGTATTGGGCACCTTTCAGCTCAACTAACTTATACCGTTGCTAAAAGAGGTGCACTGGTTCCCAGTTTCTTCCTGAGTGTAATTCAAGGTGCTAATCATCACCCTACATGGCACAAGGCCAAGCTATCTGCAGAACTGCTGCTCCCTAAGGATATCTGCCTGTCCCCCAGATCAGACAATGGGCATGCTCCAGGTCCCTTTGTCAAATGCTTCCATCTAGTTAGGTCTAGGAAGAGTGCCTTTTCCATAATGCCCCTGTCTTGTGGAACACCGCCCTTGAGCAGTCCCTCCCCCTCCTAAGTTGCTGGAAAACTGTTAAGAGCCAGCTCTTCCCACAGGCGCCAGAATAAAAAGGCTGTAGCCCTGGAGATGCCACACTTGGAGGGAGGCTGTTACACTGGACATCGTGTTTTTCTAGTATGTTTATTGGAATGTTTTTATCATTGTTAGCAGCCCAAAGTTTGTGTCTCACAAAATGGGTGGCATATAAATATTATCAATACATAAAAAGAGCTGAGCATCAATAGCAAAGACACCCTACTTAGGAAAGCTGGGCACACCAATCTCTTACCGGGGAGCATTCATGGCCCAGTATGTGATGTCATCAGTGATCCATGGATTGCTTGGGAGGCAGCCAGAGATGATGGGGTCGTGGGATATATACTGCTCATTGAACTTGAGATATCTGCAAAAAACAGTGGAGGTGGGGAAAGGACCAGAGAGCTCCCTCTCTCTGTTCAGAATGATGGAGAGGACAAGCAGCAGCCAAGGTGCCCCAGTCGGGGATAACATAAAGTGGGACATAAAGAGGCATTCAGAAATAAACTCATTCATTTGGCATTCTTAAATGGTACCGGTCACCGGGAAGAGAGGAGAGCAGAGCAGCTGCGTTAAAACTCTGAGAACAAGGCTGAAATTGCCAGCCATGAGCTCTCCACTCACCCTTGCAGGCAAAGGGAGGACTTGACGCGCATCCTACTCAGGGCAGCACAGTAATAACGGATCTGCAACCAAGGACAGAGAATGCCAAAGAACAAGTGCCACCAACTGCCAACTTCCATCGCCACATCCAGGTGGGAAGAAGCCCTTAGGAAGACTGCCCTGAATACTCTGCGTGCTTGTGCATGTGCATGCACACACATTTTCTCCTAACAAGGGACACTTGCCTTTCCCTTCCTGCTGCCTTTCCCCTTAGACTCCACCCTTCCCCTGTGCAGGAGAAGGCCAGGCCCATCCTAAGCAAACCTCCCTTGTTCCCCGAGTTTGGACTCCTAGGGCCTCTAACCTCCTGCCTTTCACCCACTGCCATAAATGCGCATGTACGCACACACACACACACACACACTCACCTCCTGTTTGTAGTAGTCCATGCTCTTCTATGAAAGAGAAAAGAGTGAAACTCATAGCCACACCAGCTGGAAGCTCTCTTGCAGCCATCCACAATTTTTGTCCATTGCTTGCACTGACTTGGCCCCCTATTTGTTTGCTTCTTAGACAACCTGAGCTACTTTTAAATGATTGTTTGAAAGCCTTTTGAGTGGCCTCACCAGCCCAGATACGTTCCTGCCTTTCTCTCAAAACCCCATTTTCCAAGTTGATGCTGAGAGTTAGTAATGCAGGGGCGGGGAGGAAGGAAGAAGCCCATACAGCCCACAAACAACAGTGCAGATCTCGGAGGTCAAGATGAAGGATTCGAGTGCCAGGAAATGAACAAGGGAAAGGGGGGAACCACAAGCCAAAACCACAGAGAAGGACCCCAAGAGTCCCCCCACCACAGCCTTTGACACAGACGCTGATTGGACAGGAGGCAGCCACAATTAAGGATACAACATCGTCCCATCTTCCCAAAGGGGAATCAGCCAAGAGGTGGACTACAAGCCAGAGGGTTTTTCTCCCCTCCTTTTCCAGAAGGCAAGGAAGGCCAGTTCAGCTGTTCTCCAGCTGCCTCAGCAAGGGAGTCCGTCACACACACACACACACACACACACACTTACCAGCTGTATAGGCGTGAGGGAGTGGCTCCTTAGCTCTAGCCCCTCACCTCTCACATCCAAGACTCCCCCCTGTAGGTGAAGCAGAACAAAGCCTGGCTGACTTGCCATTCTCTTGCCCAGGAACCCTTCCCGGGCCACCCCCCAATCTGCAATTCTGCAACTCACTCCCAGGGGGACATTGGTCACCCCTGAAGGGGGACAGAAGCTGCATCATTTGGTCCCTCACCTAATGGTGGGGCAATGCAAATGCCCAATATTTTACCCCTTCCCCTAACGAAGTACAGAACTTGCTACAAGCCCCATTCTACATTCAGGCTACATGCAGAAGGCAGTATTCATCTGTCACAGGCAAAGGGAAGCTTTGTGGGCAATGGGAAAATGCCTGTATAAATTTGCCGTGGAAGTTTCCAGAAGGATCTTCAGCAGCTGAGAGATAACACCAACTATTTGGCTGCAAGTGCTGGGCCCAAGACCCTCAAAGCATAAAGAGAGCCAAGAAGACCAGTGCAACTCCTGACCACTCTTCCCCCGGTGCCCTAACTCAGGACAAAGGTGGTGGTGGCAGATGCACCCAGCCTTCTCCTCCTCCCACTCACCAAGGGCCTGTTGACAAGCCAATAGGCTTGTTCTTGGCACTCAATGACAATCCGGTCAGCCCTCCTCCGCTGTTTAGCTGCCCTGTGGAAAGGCAAGAGTTGCAACAGAGCTGCTGCCTCCCTGCTCCCCAGTCCCAAAGGGGCAGACCTTTTGTTCCTGCAACTCACTGGAGCTGCTCCCGAGCCTGCATCACCACGAAGTCCCAAATGTGATTGATCCTCTTGCACAGTTGCTTATAATCCTCCTATAGAAGATGGCCCACACCGTCAGACGAAGAGAGTCAGTGCTCTCCTCACAGCTCTGGAGAGAAAGGGGAGGAGAGGGGCTCCATGCACCCAGGGGAAGGACATAGGCTGCCAGGGGGTCTCCTTCGTTCAGTCCTCCAATCAGTCACACTCGCTAGTCCTCGGGATTCGCTTAAGCCCCAGGCATCCTTACCTTCTCAAGCTCATGGAGTTCACCTTGCTTACGAATATTCCTCTTTGCCAAATAGATGGCTGAAACGGGAAACCGTGACCTCAGGCGTGCTGCAGCTGAAGGGGTGCCCAAAGGCTCCCCTGGCTACTGGGCATAAAACCACTGCCCTACTCACCATAATCAAGGTCGGTGGCCAGCCACTGGGTGCTCATCCAGAAATAGGGGGTCTGTAGGCCATAGAGGGAGAGGCTCGGTTCAGCTGCCCCTGTGGCAGAAGTAGGGGGCCTCTCTGCTTGAGAGTTAGCCAAGGTCTTCTCAGTAGTTCTTCCAAGGCCTTTGAAGGCTAAGAGGAAGGACCCTTCCAAGCCATCTACCCCTCCATCCCTTTTAGTGACATAGTTGAGTGGTCAGCCAATTCCATGTCAGGTCTCAGAGGGGTCCTGGTTCACCCTAACCTACCTGGAACCTGTAGGGAGTGTCATCCCTTCGCAAGACCAGAGTATGAGGATCCTTCAGAGAATAGATGTAGCCATGTTTCACAAGCAGGTTTCCCAGATGCAAAGATTCTAGGGGAGGGAAAGGGGGGGGGGTTGAGAGTGTTGGCTGAGTAGCTGGGGAGGGGAGCAGCCTTTCCAGGCAGCCAAGACTCCCGCCGAGCGACCTTCCTCACTGGGCCAGGCTAGATAGGATATTTGCTTGCCTCTAGCTGGGCTTCCCCAATCGCAGAGGGCAAAATCAAGGGGGGCAGGGGGGGAGGCCTGCCAGCCTGATTAAGCCCAGCCCAGCTAGCTCACCTTCCTCCAAGATGTTGTATTTCTGGATGAGCCACTCCACAATGTCATTCCCTAAAAAGGAGAGATGCTTGGGTGGGGGCGCTGGTGCAGCAAGAAGGGGCCGGCTGCCAGACTGCACTCAGGAGGTCCCCCCGACCCCGCCCAGAGCTCCAGGTGGGGAAGGGACCTTCCGTCCCTAACAGGCCTTTCTCCCCGAGGTCTTGCAGCAGCCTCCGCCTCCCGGCTGCTTTCGCCTCCGAAACCGCCCAAGAGGGAGCCGCGGGACCCTTCCTCACTTAGCGAACGCCGACCCGAGGCGGCGGCTAGAGGCCGGGAGGCAGCGCCTCGGGCGGGCCTTACTGCGGTCTTGGTCCGGGGAGCCGAGGAGCACCCACCGGTCACGGCGTGCGGGATGATGCTGAGTAGCAGCCGCTGATTCCGCAACACGACGCCCAGATCCGGGTCTTGCATGCCAACCACGACGCGCTCCATCTACGGGGCAAGCATCCACGGCGGCTCAGCGCCCCGCCCGGGGCCGACAGCCGGCAGGCCAGCCAACCAGCCGGCCGCCCCCCACCCCATCCCACCTTGGCGAGGCACGGCAGTTGGCGGCGGGGGGCGCCCCCCGGGCGGAGAGCGCCGATGGTCATGGAGGCGGGCGGGCGACGGCTGCAGGTGGCGGCGCGGGCGCTCGAGCGCTTCTGCAAGCGGCGAGGCGTCCCGGCGAGCCTCTGTGCTGCCATCTGCCTGCCGCCCGGGACGCCTCTCCTAAGGGCCTCTGCGCACGTGCAAAGCGCTGGTTCCGGCAGACAAACGCGCGCGCTCTGGGGCGGCTTTCAGCTCGTCGCCGCTGCCTTGGCCGAGCGGAGCGGTGGGGTCGGCAAAGGGACGGGAGTCAGCGAAGGCGGGCCGGGCCCGGTCGCCCCCCTGCCCGGCATAGAGACACACACACACACGGAGATGCGCGGCGGAGCTGGCGAACTCTTTATTGGGGTGCTCCGAGAAGCGCAGACGAAGCCCCGGACAGCGCTAGGGCGACCGAGCCAGGCGGGACCGGGTGACCCTCTTCGGAGGGCTGGAGCGCTTTGTCTTGAGCGCGAAGCCGCGGAGCGGAGACCGTGGCGGGCATGAAGAGCTGGGCCCCGAGCCGGGGTCTCCGGCGGCCGGCGAAGGAAGACGGGCGGGACTCCGAGCCAAGCGTCTGCAGCCGGGGGAGCCGCAGAGGCAGGTGCAGTGCCAGCTTTTCACCTCCCAGAACTGGTCGCCGTAGTCGAATCTGCAAGGGGAAGCGGAAGTAGAGGCCGTCTGGGCGCCGCCCGCGTACCCGCTGCCCGGTCGGCTGGGAAGCCGCGCCCGACCAGGGAGAGCGATAAGGGAGGCTGGCAAAGTAACTTCGTTCTCCCTAATCTTCAAGGCAGGTTCCAACGATGGTCCTTTTGCAGGCAGAATTGCATATTCTCCAGAGATGGCCCCATCTTTATGCCCCCACCCTTTTCCCCAGAAGCCTTCAAGGAGAAGGGAACCACCACCACGCCTTTAATGTCTTCTGTGACATTATAGAACTTATAGACAAGGTAGAAGGAGAAATGTTTTCGTCTATGATAGCAAAAAATCTGGAATTGCCTAGTGCCATTCCAACTGCTCACGAACACTTATGTCTTTTAATAAAAAAGATTAGTCTTAGTTAATCAGCTATCAAATTCCTCCTGGGAATTTTTCATAGTCAGCCTTAACATATGTCCCTGCGTAGGCTCTGGGCCGAAGCATCCACTGCTTCCACTGCTCTCAAGTGGGGTTGCCCTATAAGAACTGGATCTGGACCAGTCACCTACCCAAGTTCTTCACCAGCTGGGATGGCTCGTGTGCTGAAAAAGGCAATGCCAGGGATCTCATATCCCAGGGCAACTTGTAAGGCCACCAAGTTGGGTTGACATGAATGATTTAGGAAGCGCCCGACATTGCCATAGTAGCGCCCATCGAGGCAGCACTGTTGCCCATCCTGCAAGAGACAAGCTATGAGCTCAGAGCTACTCTGGCATTGACCTCTTCCTAGAAACATGGGGACATAACAAGCAGTGCCCTTGCTTCCAACTCCCTTCCCCACAAGTCACATCCCCTGAGAAAGGCAGATTCCACCTGCATGTCCACCACAAAGTAGTAAGTATCTTCCTCTCTGTGTGCAGCCTCAGTGTTGGAAATCAGCTCCCCAAAGTACCTGGCAGAGAGGAGAGGAATGAGAAGGCAGTGAAAGAGGTGGGTTGCTCTGCCCTTCCTCCCAGCCCCTCCTCCAAGGGGCAGGGCAAAGAAACCCCGCTCCAGAACTCACTGGCAAAGGAAAGCTCCACGGGGCATATCCTGTACTGTGCGGACGCCCCAACCCTTGGTAGCTGTCCTGTAAAGTTGAAGCTGGGTTCTGCAAGTATAGAAAAGGCCTCTGATTACTCCCTTTGCAGAAATATGTTGCTGTAGTAGGACAACCTTGGGAGAACAGATCCCTCCCACTCATACAGTTAAACTAGCTCTGCAAGGGAGGGAAGAGCAGCCCAGGGTGGTTCCTAGGCACCTTGAGCTGATGGAACATCAGTCGCTGATGATGATGCTTGCCAGACAGGCCTGGAGCTTGCCATGGACACCTTAGGCTGCCCCCAGTATTCCAGCAGGAGCCAGGACACCTCGGCACACTCACCGGAGACCGCGTTGCACCACCCGGTTGGGGCAGGACCTGGAACAAGCGCACAGCATGCTGCATTCATAGATGGATCCCATCTCAGGGGCTGTGCCAGTGGTATCCAGCCTGAGTTGGCCACCCTGCATTGGGAGGGAGGAGAAGCTGGCTGGCACTCAGAGTGGTAATATCCTCTCAGCAGGCAGAGGTAAGCCTGGGCATCTCACCATGAAGGTCCAGGAGCACTGACTGCGCAGAATGCAGGGACAGCTGGCCATGGTGCAGCCTCCATCACACCTGCAGCCCTGAAATTAACCAAAGCAAGAAGCCAAAGGTCAGTCTGGCACGTGTCCCTCTCTGCGGAGAGAGTTAGTGAGATGTGAATCCACCAGATACCCACTGGCAATCCAGCCACTTTCTTTTCCCCAAGGATAGTAGAGCAGCAACTGCATGAAGAAAGATGCTTCTGGCGATTTCGCTGTTTCTTACCACAGCTGCTACTCTTCCCACAAGGGACTGCAGCTAAGACCTGGCCTTAGCCAACACAATTCTACTGCTCAGCGTGGAAAGTGAAAGTTTTTCTGGCAAAAATTAATAGTCGGTGCCACTGAAAAATCAAGTTTGTTTTTATTTCATTTCCATCGTGTAATCATGGCTTTCAGGAGCCACATGCTGTGCAGCAGTTACAACTTCTGAATCAAGGTTACCTCCTAAAAGCTGAATTACTAAATAGCCTTTAATATGCTCCTTTCTTCAAGCTGTGGAGAAACTGCTATGGGTAAAGTTTCCCCAAAATGGTGAAAAGCCTAATAGGGGGAGAAAGGATCCCACCCAATGCATGTCCTTTGAACTACAGTTGATTAAGGGATTTCACGCCCCATATTAAACTTTCAATAATAGAAGAAAGTGAGTCTCAGTAAAGGAACTAGGTACTTTTTGCATTGCATTTCTTTTCTTTCTGTATTGGGCTTAACAGTTTTCTCTCACACACCAACATAAGACAAAACCAAGAATGATGATGTATGAATCTCTCCCTCTTAAAATAATATTAAATGTGTATTTTATGAAGTGTTTGTATTGACTCCAGGAAGGTTAATCCTGGAGAAAGAAGCCCCAAATCTCCTCATTTTAAATAACAAGGCTAGTTTTGAGAAAGCAAACTCGCCAAGGGTTGAAAGAGAGGTTGCCAACAAACCTTTCCCAAGTGGTTAGAACAAGGAATAAAGACAGCTGGAGTGGAGACTGCAGGGCTTGTGACATACAGCCCTCCTGGCTGAAGTCAAACAAACATTTGTCTGCAGCAAAAACAAACTCCCTGCTTTGCTGCACATCCAAGCAAAGTGATTGCATGAAGGGCTTTCTGGGCCCAACCAAGGAGTCAAAAGAGAAACGACTCTCTTCAAAGAAGTGAACAAGAGGCCATCAAGAACAGCTTTAGGAAGAAATTCTTCACAAGGTTTTGAATCTCCAGTGAAGGAGAAGAGAGCCTAATGCTGTAGAGGTGATGCAGTTTTTATCTGCAAAGAAGCTGAACAAAATCTGTTACCAGTCATACCACATATGCTGACTCGCAAATGCCAGTCTTCTGGAAGCAAAGATCAGAAAGGGATAGCACGGCTGATAAGGTTCATCAGGTACCCAGAGAGGTATCCTCGTCTCTGTGGAGACTGATAATATCACATTGAATTACTACCAGTCTACACCCACAGAGAGTGAATTCTGGTTTTGGAAATGGGGCTAATAAAAGATTAGTTTTCTAGCATTACCTGGGCAAAGGAATTCCCTAAAAAGAGCCTTCTTGTTTTTTAAAAAATAAGGGAAAATAAAACAATTTTGCGGTTTGTGCCACCCACCAAATCAAATATGTTCATGATGCTTCTTAGAAGCAAACTGGCTCTCCCAAAGGGCATTAAGTTATAACTGATAGGGGCTATAATTACCCCAACGTGTGCCAGAAGACAAACTCTGCTAAGCATGGTCCTAGCAAATCCCTAGCCTGTTTTGTGGCAATTTTCTCCTTCAGAAGGTAAAAGAAGCCACAAAAGGATCCATTCCCTTTGATTTGATTTTAAGCAACAGGAAAAAATTAATTAAATAAGTGGCAGTAGCAGGAACCCTGAAAGACAGCAATAATGTTGGAGATCTTTAATTTTAAGTGAAACTTAACTTGGTATGCTGAACATAAATATTGGACTTCAGAAAATTATGTTTTAAATCCATAATCTACAGTCAAATCCAGGACAGGAAGCCTACAAGATGACATACATTCCTCCAAAGAAGGATTTCAGTATTACAGTTGAACAATTCCAGCAACAAGGAAAAGAGAAGATAGTAGAAAAATAAATGTGATTACATAAGAAACTCAGTAAAAAATCTGAAAATGCCCAAAGACATGTCTTGCAGGTGGAAAGAAAGGCCAATGATGAAGCATATATGCAATATCTTGATTCAAAGGATGCTATCACAAAAGCTAAAGTTTGGTTCCTGCCTTCCCTTATGTGCTTGTGTGTGTGCACACACACACATGCACACACACACCAGATAATGTGATTCAAATACTAAGCAGGCATGCCTGTTCTTCCCATCCCAAAGGAAGCAAGGAAGGAAAATCTCTTACCTGACTTTGATCCCAGGCTTTTGTGGGAAGAAGCATTGAGCCTGACATGATGTTCCCTGTGATGTAGAGGAAATCCCTGGGATAGGATTCCTGGTCTACCATATTGAGGCAAGGAATGGCAACTTGCTCAAAGCCCCGAGAGATGTCCCTAGGAAGAGAAGGCAAGGCAGCAGGCGGGCAGTGCTGAGCGCTGTCTGCAGTCTGAGAAATGCCCATCAACTGGGAATATATTTTTGTGAGATAGGCAGCAATATGTATATATGATAGGTAGAAGAGAGGGAGGGAGGAAGAATGCGACTGACTCACCTGCTGAGTATCTGCTCTACCTGACTTGGCAACTGGCCAGAGAAGGCCTGCAGAGCCCTGCAGGAGGGGGAGCTGACCTGGGTGCATTGCTGGGGCAGCTGCCCTGCTTTGTTCTTCAGAGAGACTGCGCCACAGGCCAGGAAAAGGCTGCAAGATCAGAAAGAGGCCAGGGCCCTGGGCTTTGTGGTCCCTGAGGAGAACCCCAAAGAATTCCATACAGTCAAAAGCATCTTATTCCAAGATATTTCCCACTCCACAAGCAACCCCTCCCATCCATCCTTGGGGCACACCTAGGATTGGAATGTCCCAACAACTAAAATGAGTTTCTCACAAACAGGGATGAGAGTGGACAACTGTCCCATTGGCCTAGAAGACTGAGCAATTAACCCCAGGCCTGGAAGAGGGCTTCAGCCTTACTCCAGAGCTGTCCCCTGTGTAGTGACCTAACCGTGTGAAGACCTCCTGCCCCTCTTATCTCACCTGAGGCATTCATGGCACTTCTCTTGGGCTGCCAGGTGCAGAGGTGAGTTACCCAGATGGTTTGTGGCATTCAAGTCTGAGCCAGCTTCCAGCAGCATCCTAGCAATGGTGGGTAAGCCAAAATAGGCTGCCCTGTGCAGGCAAAGATTCCCCTCCTGCGTGGGATCAGAAGGGCAGAGACCCCAGGTTGATTTGGCTCAAGGCCCTGCTCTGAAGCACTTTTCTGAAACCCCAGCCCCTTAGGAAGAGCAGTGGGAGAGGGAGAGGCCTGCTGCCAAGCTGCTTCCCTTCTCAAAGACCGGATGGGTAAGACCTTCATATGAAGGGAAGAACTTCCAGACAAGTAGAACAGAAAGGCTGGAATAGTCTAGAGGGTTTTGGAAAAGTTGCTCCCCTTTGTAGGACAGGGCCCAGAAGTAGGGACCCTCTGCCCCTAATATCCCCTCCTTTACCTTTGCAGGGCTGTTGGGGCCCAATGGCCCACTGCTACAAGATCCATGGGGCTGAGCCTGGAGGTGCAGTTGGAACCAAGCCAGGTGTGGCTATGTGACTCTTTGGGGCACTTGGCTGGGTCTTGCCCTTTTCCAGCCCTTTCAATATGTACCCCCCTTGGTTTGTATGAGGCAGCTGCTGGATGTGCCCCCTTCCCCTTCCTTCCCCCACTCCCCTGTCTTGTACACACTTTGTCACGGACATCTGGGTCTGCCCCATGGGACAGCAACAGCTCCACCAGTCTCTTGTGCCTGTATTCCGTGGCCCAGAAAAGGGGGGTTCTGCCAGTGGCATCCTGGAGGAGAGCCAAAGCAAGAGGTAGTCTCGCACTGACAGCCATCTGGTCAATCAGGCTGCTGGGTGGATGCAGGAAGGAAGCCTCCCCCTCCTCGGGGCTCTTGCCTCATTGCTCTACCTGGCTGTTAATGGCCCCTCTTCCTTGGGAGAGGAGCTGCTGGGCCATGTCATAGCAACCCTTCCTTGCAGCTGCGCACAAAAGGGCTGCCGTCTCATCTTCCTCCTGCAGCAGGAGATGCTCAAAGCAATTAGAAACCTCCCAGTAAAATTTGCAGTGACATGCAAGCACCCGCACACACACGCGCACGCACACACACACACACACACACACACACACACACACCATTCCTCCAGCCAGCCTTGGTCAAACTTAATTGCTGGGCAGGACTCAGTTTAAGCAGAGGCAGAGCTGAGCCAAACAGCCTGAATGAAGCCTCTCGCGGGTGCTTCAGAGGCCAAGAGGAAGGGAGGCTGATGCCATTCTGGAGAGCTTTCTGCCACTTCCTTGCTCCCCTTTACCTGTCTTTCAGGAGAGTCTCTGTTAAGGCCTGACTCTTTGCTTTCTGCAGGAAGGAATTCACAACGGATACAGAGTCTGATATATTGCTGCAGGAGACTGGCCCTACCCCACCCCTTAGAAAGCAGCCAGTTATATGCTGCCCAATGGATCATGGACCAGCTGACTTGCTCTGCATCTGAGACAGCCCATCCCCACCTTTCACTTCTGTCCCCCATTCCAGACCCAGGGCTGCCTCACCATTCAGGCCCATGCTGCTTCCTAGCAACACTGAAAACTGTTAAAGAATTCAGCAGTTGACCGAGGTGATGGACATTCCACAGAATCGTCTTGGGTTCTGCCCAGGCTGGGTAGTACAAGAGAAAGATGTTACTGGAATACCTTGGTACTGAAAAGTGCCATTGCCTCCTCCTGCTCCTCCTTCCCCGGCATTTGGGCCATTTTTGTGTCACCCTGAGGAAGCAGCTCAGGCATCACCCGTAAGGGGACTGCTGAGAACATTTTGGAAGAAGACCTTCCAGGCACAATGCCCAGTCCCTAAAGTCTGCTGGGAAGCCATGGAGCTTCCTCCTCTGACCCACTGGCATTCCTGAAAAGAGGGCAGGAATGAGGAGCAGCACATGGCTGCCCTTGCTCTCCCTTCAAGGACTGAAGCCTTCGCTTTGGCTTCTGTCTCCGTTTGGCAGCCACTATTGAGAATGCCCATGACTCCTTTCAGCTCCTGGGCTCCTTATGGATCTCTGCCCTCCCATGCTAGCAGATGCCTCTACAAGCTTCAGACTTTCCTGGGTCGCCCACTCTGGCCCCAAAGATCAACTGGCCAGAAGTGCAGCTGAAGCTCTCCAAGCTCAGAGGTCTTTGGGGGCTGCTGTGAGTAACCTTCCTTTGAACTCTGCCTGAAAGCCCAGAAGAGCCAGGAGGACTAGCCACGGGAGCCCCAATGCTGCAGGACTTTCCTCTTGACAAGGAGAATAAGGTCTCCTTCAGAACTTCCCCCCTCGCAGCAAGGTCAGAACAAGCAAGTTGGCAGGTGGACGTTCCTGGCCGGGATTGGCACAGCCATTCACCAGAAGCCACGTGTCTGGGCACAGGGGCCTTATCAGGGCCAGCCCTGCCCTGCCTGGCGTCTCTGGGTCCATGTCGGTATGCTGAGTTCCACCATTCACACTGCCATGGGTTTCCTGCTGGCCTTGTGGCTGGCCGTGACTTCCCTTCAGCTTGCGAAGACACAAGAGGACAAGAGCTGGGTGGAGGAGGAAGACATCTTGGTGCTGAACCAGCACAATTTTGCCAGGGCTTTGCAGACATATAAGCTGCTCTTGGTGGAATTCTGTGAGTAGAGGAGGAGGAAGAGGGTGGGGCAGCTGGAAATCTTCACAGGGCTCCCTTGGGGCTGCCTTACTGCAGGGGAGGGGCAAACTACCAATCTGAGTGAAGAGAACTGGATATGGGGCGCAGGTTTCATGTGAGGCAGGGCCATCATGGTGCCATCTGTGGCCTCAGAAGACAACCCTTATTCTTCCTGCTCCCGGCTGCTTTGGGGACAATCAATACACACCGCTGTGCCTGTTGGGACAAACTATCCCACAAACCACAGATTGGAGTGCTTGAGATTGGGCTGGTTTGACCTTTGAGCTATAGCCCCTTTCTGATGATGCCCTGCATGAGGAAGGGCATCCCGTCACTCAATCACAGTAGGTGCCCCCCCCCCAAGATTCTGGTGTAGAGAGGAAAAGGTTCTCTACCACTCTTTTGTGCATCCTTTTCAGCCGCTGCCCTTCTTGATTGCCTCTCTTCTCTCTCCCTCAGACGTCCCCTGGTCAGGACATTGCCAGGCCCTGGCCCAGGAGTTTGCCAGAGCAGCTGTGTTGCTAAAAAAGGAGGCAGGTCCCCTAGCGAGACTGGGCAAGGTGGACTGCACCCAGGAGGAGGCATTGAGGGCAGAGTTTGGAATCACTGGCTACCCTGTCCTCAAACTCTTCAAAGATGGAAACCGCACCCATCCCATGGATTTTCCAGGTCAGTCAGGAAGTGAGTGAAACACAACCAGCCCTAGTAGAGGAACTCACTGCAGGAGAGTAGCAGAGGAGATGACCAGCATCTTCCTTGGAATCTGATGGAAACCTGCCACTCCCAGACTTTTGCAGTGGCTACCTGCTAACACCTATCTCCGTGTTCCCAGTTTGTAGCAGCTTCCGCCTCTCTCTCTCTCTCTCTCTCTCTCTCTCTCTCTCTCTCTTTGCGCTGCATGGTTTTATGAGCAGCCCAGCCTCTTGTTTCCCTTTTATTGTTATCGAGTAAGCACAATTTTTTGTAGAGAGGAGCAGAACATCTGTTCCGTTGGACGTGATAGTAGTCCTTCAGCTACTGCTCAGATTTTCCCATATTATCTGATAAGCATTATGGTCCTCTTGTTCAAAGAGTTGCTGGCGAGGAAGGGGGTTGACAGCCGTCCTCACAACTCCTCCCCTGGTTCCCATGTTAGATGAGCAAGAGGCTGCAGGCATAGTGGAGTGGCTAAAACGGAAAGCCGGGCCCAGTCTGGTGCTACTCGAAGAAGTTGATGCAGTCGCTAGTTTTGTGAATCTCCACAATGTTGCGGTAGTTGGATTCTTCCAGGTGAGTGACATCTTACGTTCCTCCCTTTTGAAGCTGCCACAGGCAAGACACGCCTTCTCTTCCAAATTTCACCAGAGCCTTTGAACCTTTTCCATGGGAATGCGGCCAGGGATTTTCCCGTTGTTGTCCAGTGGCAAGTTCTGTCCAGAAAGCAAAATGTGCTCCCTCTCCCCCGGCCTCACACTGCAGCCCTTCCTTTCTCCATGCTGGTTGTGTCCAGAGCTGCCTCTGGCTGTGCCGTTCTCTCTAGGATTTGCAGGATCCAGATGTGGGTCTCTTTGCTGATGTAGCCAGTGACACTCCTGAGGTAGCCTTTGCCATCACGGACAACCTGCTGCTCTTTGAACAGTACAATATTACTGAGGATACCATTTCTCTCTTCCGGAAGGTAAGATGCTTTGAAGGGCTGGTGCAACTGTGCCTCTGCAGACACTGTTTGCTGATTGGTGTATTTGCAGGATGATGGCCAGCGGGTAGATTTCTTCGCTGACACAGAGCTAGGCCTGGATGCAAAGGACCTGGCTCAATTCATCTCTGTGCAGAGTCTAGACCTGGTGATGGAGCTCACAAATAAGGTCAGTCAGCTGTGATCCCATCAGGGAGCCCACAGCCTCCTTGCTGGCAGATGCGGCCCCTCCTCTCTCTCTTGCATGTGGTGGGATTCATCAAAGGGGCTGCCGTGGGCAAGTCATCCATTGGTGCAGTGTGGAGGTACCTCCTTCAGACCTGTTCTGCTGCTCTGTGCAGGAGCCAGTTAGGTCAGGGTAATTCAAAGGTCAAAGAGAAGAGGAGGGATGTTTCAGACCTTCAAGATGGCCAGGCCTGCTTGCCCCGCTGCACCACATGGGCTTTTTGTGTCCAATGGCTTGAGGTCTCTCTGCTCAGGGGAAGTAACTGCCGATGGTTTTCCCCTAGAACTCCTCCAAGATATTTGGGGCAAAGATCCCAAATCATTTGCTGCTCTTTATCAACAAGTCAGTGGATTCCCAGTTAAGGCTCCTGGGCCCTTTTCGAGAGGGGGCCACTGCATTTCGGGGTCAGGTAAGTCCAGGGTGGAGATGGGAGAGCAGGTAGGGCTGCTCCTAGGGAAACCACTCCCTCTTCCTTCCTGTTTGGCAACAGGTACCCTCTTGCTAAGCCAGCCAGGGGGAGAGGAAACACAACTGGCTGTGATGAAAAGGCCACCAGGGCAAATATGCACCCATCATCTGTGGCTGGGGGGCTTCTGTCTGAGACTACAGGTGCTTTTTGTGCTGGTGGATGTCAATGGGGAAGGGGCTGGCGTATTACAGCACTTCGGTCTTAAGGTCTACGATGCTCCCGCCCTCCGTTTCATCAATATTGAGGCCAACAAAAAATACCGGCTAACCACAGAAGGGCTCACAGCACACGGTCTCCACACCTTTTGTCAAGAGGTTTTGCAGGGGAAAATTCAGGTGGGCAGCCGACATCTGGCAAAGGGGGGGGGCACCCTGGTACACGTGGACCTCTGGGAAGAAGGCAGCCCCCTAGCCAGCTCTTCCTTATCCCGTTCCCAAGATGTCAACAGGAAAGGCCCTTCTGTGCACAGCTCCGGGAAAAAGCCACAGATGCATTTCCAGCATCCGCCCCTCTCCCCAATTAGGTACTACCTTTCCCAGAAGCCCCACCTCTGGTTTGCCTTCTCTTCCAGCCCCATCTGATGAGCGAGGAGATCCCCAGTGACTGGGATAAGAAGTGGGTGAAAGTCGTGGTGGGCAAGAATTTTGAGCAAGTTGCATTTGATGAAACCAAAAACGTGTTTGTGAAATTCTGTAAGCATCTGGACCTCAAAGACAGACACAGCTAATGCTAAGCTTTTATAAAGGTCCCAGCATGGCCTGAGGTTCGGGGTGGGTAGCTTTTATGACCACAAGGCCTGCCAGAGGGGTGTAGAGTTGCACACCTGCCCAAAGGATTTTGCCTCTCCCAGCAGCAGGTAACTCTCAGGGTTGAAAGGGATGGTGTATGAAACACAGAGTGAATTATGAAAATGTTCTAGGCACTTTAATCTTTAGAGCTGAAGGAGAGACACATATTCTCCCTTCTCCCCCCTTCCCCAAGCCTGCTGGCTGCATTCCAGAACAGGCTTTGCCCAGATAACCACGGAGCAACAGGGTCCCACCTGAATCCCCAACTGCCTGTTAGATTTAGGCAAGTGGATTGTGCACAGCAGCCACAGACAATCCAAGCCCAAGCTTGCTCAACTCACCACAGTGGCCAGTGTTTGGTATTTTTAATCTAACAAGACCCCCTCCTATTCTGTCTTCACAGATGCCTCTTGGTGTCCCCACTCCAAGGCACTGGCCCCGGCCTGGGAAAAGTTAGGAGAGAAATACAAAGATCACAAGAATATTGTCATTGCAGAGATGGATGCCACAGCCAACGAAGTGGAAGACCTGACCATCCATGGCTACCCAACCCTGTACTTCTTTCCCGCTGGGCCAGGCCGGCAGGTACAACAGCATTTCTCCTGCTCTAAAGATTTGGCTGCGGGAGGGCAGTCTGGCTGCTGATTGGGGGAGGAATGACATGGGGCTGTGCTGACTGAAGGTTTCCTCCCCAGATGATTGAGTACACGGGTAGCAGAGATACTGAGAGCTTCTCGAGATTTCTGGAGGGAGGAGGGAAGCCCCTCTCCAACAAAGAGACTGGAGTAAGTATCAGACCCTATAGAAGAGGGGCTCAAAAATCCACCCAGCTTTCCCGCCCAGCAAAGAGAAGGTTCTGCTTAGAGAGGCCATCTGGAATGACTGGAGGAGTCTTTTTTCAAGGTTCCCATCTGGACTTTGGGGAGACACTCCTGTGACTGAGATGGTCTATGTTTGTAATTCCCAGTGAGATAAGCCAGCTTCTAGGTCTTGCTAGAATGTGGATTCTAGTCCTTGGTTCCCAGGTTCACAATGAAAATTCATGCATGCTACTTTGGACAATTGGTCTGAGGGATGGAGGGAGGGCAGGTTGAAAACAGTCTTGGGTTTTGCCCTCACAAGGATGGGGAGGTACTTCTTCCTGAACCTGCCTTATTCCCTCACATGCTTCAACCTCAGCTTCCTAAGACTCTGTTTCGCAAACAAGCAGAACTGTGCCTATGTGGACAATGGTTGCTGTTGGGAAACACTCCATACCTGGGTACTTGAGTAAAGGTTGCCTCTGCCTTTCTAGGCTGCTGAGACCCTCAAAGAGCCACAGCAGGATGGGATGAATCCACCAGAGACCACAGAGTCCAGGGAGGAGTTATAAATCCTGCTGGCTCTTCCTGAGCCTCACTTTCTACAGGAGGCCCCCACAGCATCATAAACAATATAAAGACCTTGACTGTCAAAAGAAGACTCTGTGAAACTCACGTTTTTAAAGCCGTACAGTACATATAACCCCGAAAATAATCAGTTACTTGCCAATATGCGTTTCTACCCTATGGTCCCTCTCAAATACTTTCCAGAACTGGCTCCTTCCGTGTAAATCAATCTGCTGTAATCCCTTCCCTCACCATGCCCTTCCACACAAAAGCTCTGCAAAAGAATCCACAGGTAGAAGGAAAGGCATCTGATGGGTGCCGCTTGTCGCCAGCAGATGCATCAGTATCTAACGAGCCACAAACATTTCTGCCACAACTGTCCAAACTCAGCAGTTTCAGCCTTTCAGTCACAGGCTCAGAGGTCTCCTGGTCTGCACCTACCAGGAAGGTCACATTGCTCCAAACTCTCAGAAGTCAACCCTCACTTGGCAATTGGCCAATCCTCTCCTCCCCTTCCCTTGAGAGCCTAGTTCTCAGCTCATGCAGAATCTGCAAAAGCCCTGCATGCATACATACACCCAGAAACCATTGGAACATGGGCCTTTATTTCATTGTTGTACCTTTGAAAAGATCAATTGTACAAGTCAGCATGTGAAAAAAAGTTCCAGAACTGCCAGCCATTTGCTCAGCCACTGAAGCCTGAGCCTTGTTTAGAAAATGTACATATCTACAACTGAACCCTTCAGAAAAAGGGGAAATGAAGATCCGGCTCCAGCCGGGCACTACACATTAAAATGTCCATCCAATGTGGAACACAATCCGAGCCCAAGAAGGCCAGAACCCAACTCAGGGAGGGAACAAGCATGAGGTTGGAAGGCACTCGGTGACATTCGCAAAGGACGGGTGCTGGTGGGGGCAGTCTTGAGGGCTGCTCCATCTCCTCTGCCATGGATATGTGGAGCCCAGGTTGTGTGTGTGAGTGTGTGTGTGTGTGTGTATCATTGGAGGGGGGGGGAGAACAGTGAAACGGGAAGACAGGAGGGAGAAGCACACAGTTCAGCAAGGAGAAGAGACATCTGCTTCTGCCATAAGCCCATTCTCTCCCCCTCCAGCTGCTGAATGGCAAGAAAATGGGAGACAGCACAAGGCCTGGGGTGGCCCTAAGCATCGTGGAGTCTTCCTCTGTCCCTCGGCAGCGTCTGAGCAGGAAAACCTATTAGGGCAGTGTTTCCCAAACTTGACAATTTTAAGGCATGTGGACTTCAACTCCCAGAATTCCACAGCCAGCTGGCTGTGGAATTCTGGGAGTTGAAGTCCTCATGCCTTAAAATTGTCAAGTTTGGGAAACACTGTATTAGGGGAACATACCAGGTGGAGCAAGGTGCAACACAGATCAAGTAGGCCTCATTCCAAGCCTATTAAAAATGCAAATCACAGCCTTGTTCATTCTGCCTCCCCTCATACAGGGGTGTCCAGCTTATGGCTTAGCCCTCCGTCCTGTGGCTGTAGTATTGCAAACTCAGTATCATCTCGAAGACAGCCTTTGGTGCAGCTTCTGTCAATAGCTGTGTAATGTTCTGACGCAGCAAGCTGAGGATTCTGTATGGTGTGGAGAGAGTTGTGATTTCCTCAGAGAAGGCAAGCAGAACGCTGTGGCTGCCAGGCCTTTTGGCTCACCCAGGTTAATCAATCTTCTCTACCTTCCCAATTATCTTCTCTTCAAAGATGGGCAGGACCGCATCCTCCTCTTGAACCTCTTCAAACACAACTCCACAGTCAAACTCATCACTGACTTTCTTGAAGTAATACCTTTAAAACAGGGATGGGAGGGCAATTCAGAGAAGGTTTTGCCCCAAAGAGACCATCACCTCTGCAGACACACCACAAGGAGGCCAGCTGGGAGATGCTCCTAGGGGGTTTGCTATTGCAAATCCATCCAGGATTGTCTAAAAAGCACCAAAGCTACAATGATGACCCAGTCCAGATATCTAGCATATCAGAGCCCATTTTTCCCCTTTGTACTTGTTTGAGAAAACTACTCCTCAACTTCTGCTAACCAAGTAGACTGCATAGACAATTTGTGTTTTAACTTTAGGCTTTCTTCAATTCTCATCCTGGTTTTTTGAGAGGGAAAATACTGAGCCATTACCCAGGTAACCCCCAGTTCATCAAATGTGAGTCTCCAGTCCCCAAGAGCTGTTGCTTTGCTCTGGGCTGAAGGGGGACTTGAGGGAAGCCCAGGGGAATGGGCGCATGCCGACCTCCCATGCCAGTTCCTTGCCCATTCTTACCTGTAATTCCCTTTCTTGGTCAGCAACTCCTTGAACTGGCCCAGCGTGACCACCCGGCCTTTGACAAGGGTGCGATAGGGGATTGGCTCTCCGCAGAAGTAATACGCCACCACAATATTCTCACAGGGCTGGGAGAAACTGTTGCTCAATTTCTTGGGTGCCTTCATTCTAGGAGGCCAAACAGAGAGGCGGTCCTTTGCTTGCAGACCTGGCTGTCTCAACAAGGGAGGCCCCTGACATCTTCTGAGGAGACTCAGAGCAAGAGCAGTCAAGCGGCAGGGTCAAAGGTTGGGGTTTGGGGTCAAAGGTCAAGGGGCAGGGTCAAAGGTCAAGAGGTAGGGTGAAAGGCCGATGGTTGGGGAGTCAAAGGTCAGGTGGCAGGGTCAAAAGTCAAGGGACCAAAGGTCAAATGAAAGGGTCAAAGGTCAATGGTTGTGGTCAAAAATTGTGGCAGGGTCAAAGGTCAAGTGGCAGGGTCAATGGTTGGGGTTAAAGATCAAGTGGCAGGGTTAGGGTTATGATGTTAGTAGGGTTGGGTTAGGGTTTGCGTTAGGGGGTTAGGGTTAAGGGTTTAGGGTGTTAGGGTTCAGGGGTTAGGGGGTTCAGGACTGGGGAGAGCAGGAGGGGGGGAGCAAAGAGGCTGCAAAACGCCATTTGCCCTAAGAGCAATCTCCAACCACCAGGCCAGCCTGGGGAGGACGGACTGGCTTCCAGAGAAGGACCCAAAGAACTGCAAAACAGACTCGGAGAGACACAGGTTGGAAACGGTGACTGCATTCAGCACTGCCACCCAACTGCCCTGACAGAAGAATGGCCATCCTGGATAACCCTATGAATATATCGGAAGAACAACATGGACCTTAGAGAAATCTCTTATTTTGCCCTTGTTTCCTCTGATCAGGGATCCATCTCAGTGGCCTTCCTGACTACAAACGAAGCCTATCCAACCTCAAAAGCTTGGGAGAGGATGGAGAGTGAGAAGAAAATCAGAAGCTCCTCTGCTAGCCAAGAGGAAGGGCTTTCCACCATAGTCACAGCCAAGGGTGCAGAGAAAGCGACCAACCAGTTCCTCTTCCCAACCTCTCACCTTCTGGCTTACTGGCATTCCAAACCTGCAGGGGAGATCCCTGGGCCAGGAGGCAGCACAGAGATGGCCTGGGACACGCACAGCTGGAGCAGCAGCAGGGGGCGCTCCTCATGTTCCCGGCACTGACGTGGGCCTAGCGCAGCTCTACCCTCAAAAGGCAGCTCAGTGGGGCCCAGGGGAGAGTGAGGGGTTCCTGGGATAAGCCAGAGCTCCAGCACTACCAAAGAGACTCCTTCCCTCCCTCCTGCTTACCTCTGTTTGGCAGCTGGCTTGCCGGTTCTCTTCTCCTCCTCCTCCAACCGCCGTCGGGCTTCCTCCAGCTGCGTCAGAGGGTTGGGAGCAGGGTTGGGGGGCATGGTTGGGTCCTGGATGAAAGGGTGGGATGGCTGCACAACATTCCGGAATGAGACCCAGGGGTGCACAGCCACAGGGCGATCAATGGGAACCGGGCGGGGTGGCTCATGAGCCAGTTGCTTCTTTGTACCCGATGAGCTTCAAGGAAAACAAACAGACACTGACGGAGTGTCCCAGGACAACTGCAGCAAACCACAGATGACAGAAACAAATAAAGCAGAACTGCTGGATAAAAAAGCCCAGTCTCTGACTGCCTGTCAGAAGAGGAAAGGCCGTCCCCTGAGTTCCTGAACCCGAGGCAGACAGCAACAGCAGGTGCTTCCATCTCTTCTTCCACTTGATGAGATGATGTCCTCCCCACTAGACATAGGTGAGGGGGGGGGACGGACAGGGATCTACAAAGGGTCTGCAGGGTACGTTGTGGAGGCTTCCAAGGATTCCCCCAAGAGAAGCTGAGAGGAGGATGAATTTGAGAGCGATTCTCTTCTTTTTTACCTCCTGGAGTACAGAGCAAGGCCATCCCTCCACAGCCCAGTCTGGGCAATAACCAATGCCAGAAATCAAGCAACACAGCCTGTTCTTAGGTGAAGCATCTGGGGAAAGGAGGCTATGGCACCTCGTTTGCTGCTCTGGTGGGGGGGTGGGGGTGGAGGAATCAAGCAGCAGGGAGGCAGCCCAGAGCAGCTGGTCTGCCAACCTGGGTGCCAGGTTGATATCCACTTAAGCCCATTTCACCTTTTTCCCTAGGCAGCGCCTTCACCACAGCCTCACAGCCACATGCAGATTTGGCACCTCTACCATTTGCCAACATTGGGATTCCATGTGCCTTTCTCCTCCTAACCCCACTCACCCATGGGTCGTTTTCCGGTGCCTGCTGATCTCCTTTTCGCCTTCTATGATCCACTGCATGATCTTCTGGTTCCTTTCCAGGTCTTCTGGAGAACCAGGCACATCGTGGCTGGCGCCATCATTTTTCCCAGGGTCCGACTTCTTGGCACCCCGCTTGGAGAGCAAGCCAGCTTTCCCACTAGCCAGAAGAGGAGAGAGAGAAGCAAGATCTTCCTCTCGTTGCTTCTCCCAAAGCACGGGAAGAAACAGAGTTTCCTGGGGCCAGTCTGGCCTTGACCCCGCTGCACTCTGGTTCTCACAATAGCACACCAACTCTGCCCCGAGAAGCTGAGGACAACTTCTGCACCCCCACCCCCCCTTGCAGGTCTTCAGCTAGCTAAGATGGAAGCACCATGACTCCACACACAAGAGCACAGGGGCTCAAACCTCTTGTCTGGGTCTCTCGTTCTTCCGCTCTGCAGCTGCTGCTCTCAAAGGCTCAAGTGGAGACGTGTCGAGGGGCTGGACT